GTGATATAATTGACAAATCGCTTATCTTCCGAGCGTGCTTTAGGTAGAAACGAAAAATCCGAATGTCTCGCACGCAGACCACTAGTAGCTTCCATATTATTTCCTGTTTTAGCCTGATAAGCTAATCTTCCAAACCTACTACTAGCTATCTTAGCACGAGACATAATAAATTCCGTCAATTCGTTAAAATTGGGCTCTCTCTCCTCTTCGTCCCACTTGAATACTAGCTCTGCCCACTGGGCTTGCATTCGACGAGGTAAGAGCCTAACTATTCGTTCTAAAGTAGTCATAGAGTTAAGTTCCGTTGTGCAATTGAGCTGTTCTAAAGTTAAAGCAGCATTCTGCATTTTAATCGCCAAGTTCGTCAATGATTCAGGATCATTAAATTCTACATTCCCAGTTCTAAATAAGTCCTCTAAGGTTTCTCGGGCTATTACATGCGACTGTCCAAAGAGCTGTTTTAGAATGGCCTTAGCTCTCTTATATCCTGATTGTGGATCCATAATAATACAGCCTTCAATCGCATTTTTTGCTTTTCCCTTACAATAATGAATTAAATACAATAAACGCACTTGATCATCCTTTATTCGAGGTTCTATAAACGCTTCTATTTGTCGTATGAACCTAAAATAGTCGCGAGACCTTCCATCAAAAAATGAGAGTTCAACCTTAGGTAGTTCTAAACCCTCTATCGATGACTTACAATAATAAATATCAGACATAGCATGTGGGTTACCCATAAAAAGGTTATCATTAACGACTTGCCTAGAGCCCTGTGATCCGTCGAGCTCTTCCACCCTCCTCATGTGTGATTTTTTTCTGTTTGACATCATAAGTGAAGTTCAATAAAAAGGGTAGCAATACAAAATAGTAATTCCACAGTTCAGTTCAAAAATACGATAAATAGTTCAAGCTTCTTCCTCCAAGAAGGTTTAGTGTGATAAACGATTAAAATTCCAAATGTTTCTTTATAATTCTTAATAATCCGAATAATTCCAAAATATACACGTTCAGATGAATATTTCCAAAGTATAATCCAAGGTAGAATAAATTCCAGACTGTAAATTTATTTCGACAGTGGCTGTCCCAATTGTTTCCAATAGAAACACTCCTGTACGCCTTTCCTAGTTCCGGGTCCCAACCAATGCAAAAAAGGACAAAATTCTAGGAGAAAACGTCTCTGTATTATTAGAAAATGGAAATACAAAGCCTTACGGAATTTGTGTTTCTTCCAGGGTTAAATTACTCCGCAGAGTATCCAACACAATAGCCGATAAGTGAAGCTAAGTCCAGCAGCCACTGCGTCCGTCCGAAAATGTGGCGGTAGCCATATTATATCAAATTTAAACAATATATGTACAGTTCAGAAGCAAACCCAAAAACTTCAATATAAGTACAAATATAGAAAGAATAACAATATACAATGATAAAATCTCAAATTGGAATCAAATAAAATACCAAAAATGTCAAGAGAAAAAGTCCATCATGTCATAGCAAAAATATGTAAACATGGAGGGATTTTCCAAAAAACAAAACATTCAAAAAGAATTCTACATAGACCAAGGCAAGACGGAGTAAATAAGACGAAGTCTGATAGGAAAGAAGCGTCAAGAAAGCAAGCTTCTCCTGTCCCCAAGTGGCAACAGCTTAATAACGTATGGAAAATACAGACGTGAGGCCAGATCGCTTCCCAGCAAAAAAATAACAACTTACCACCGAATTCATCAAAAAGCATTTGGTTTATGTCTGACTTAAGAGGTTTAAAAAGAGATAAATCTAAGGATATATTCTGAAGAAAAGCATCTTTTAATTGCAGGCTTCCGGTGACTAGGCTCTATATACTCTCCGGACACCATGGTTATTGAAGAACTCGAAGGCCTCGATCCCTTGAATAGGGTTGATTCTGGAAAATTTACTTGACCTGAATTAGATCGTGTTAGATTACTAAAGGGAGTAGGTAATTCCACCGCAAATCCATTATGGACATGAGTTGATCTGTCCATAAATTAAGTTAGATTATCCAAAGAATATTGTAGTGGTATACTTTTACGAAGGTAACACAGTCGCTGAAATATAAACACTTAATATTTTACTGACTTCTAATAATAATTGTTATGTTTATAAATGAATTTTCTACCGTAGCAGTTCAAATGGTTTCCAATAAGTGCAATCCGAACGCGTATCTCCCAGTCCAATGTCCAAAAAAACACAACAATTCTAGGAGAAAACGGTCTATATTATATTAAAAGATGGAAATACAAAGCAATACCTGAAGTTGATGCACTTTCCAAGTCACAATTACTCCGAGAAGTATCCAAGGTAAAGGGGAATAAGTGACGTTAAGTCCAACCGCCACAGTATCAATCCAAATATGGCTGTGGCCATATTAAAGATCAAATTTAAACAACATATATACAGTTCAGAAGCAAACAAAAAAACTTCAATATAAGTACAAAATATAGAAATAATAACAAGATACAAATGATAAAATCTCAAATTGGAATCAAATAAAATACCAAAATGTCAACAGAAAAAGTCCGTCATGTCATAACAAAAATATGTAAACATGGAGGGATTTTCCAAAAAACAAAACATTCAAAAAGGATTCTACAATGTTGTACCCCTTTTGTTTATCCTTACTGAAGACTATCTCTCTCGCACCAAGCATGTCTTTCCGACTCCACCCTTCTCATCTCTCGTTGTTAGCCGCTCATGTACCCTAGTCTCCTTATTATTTCGAAATCACGAGGCTAGCGATACATGTACTTCTTCATCCATATTTGTCTTTTCTTTGACATTTGGATTATCGGGATTTCAATTAGTAACCCCGCGAAGAAATATATTTATTTCGACTTACTAAAGTATGAAACTGCCATAATAAGTCCTGTCTTCAATAGAAGTATGATACTCGTAAGCCTAACTAGTGTGACTATGAGAATATTAGAAAAGATTATTACTAAGTATCTGTTTAAATGCCTGGAAGGAAGCCAGATTATTTCGTGGAAGCAGCAAGGCTTTAGAACAGGCTATGCGCGTCTCACAAATCTGTTAGAAGCTCATGAAAGTTGGTGTGCTCTCATAAATCAAAAGTTACCAACATGTGCATACTTCATTGACCTAAGACAGGCATTTTAGGAAGTGGTATGGGTATTAGCGGCGACTAACTGGTATGGATTAAGGATTTCCTTGTCGGACACTAATAAGGATAACGGGTTAAGTCGAAGCTGTCCATTTGGGAAACTTTGCTTAGACGGATACAGTTTGGTGTTCAGTGTTGTACAAATGACCTTCCTAGTCACTTATTTTCGTCGGTGATTTGCATACTGACGAAATCAAAATACGGAGAACAATCAGAGACGAATGCGACAGTCTACATTTTCAAAATGGCCTACAAAAATCATCTGGAGGGTCCAGTGTTTGAGCCCAACATGTGATTCAAGCTCCATCTGTCGAAGCATTCAAAAGAAAGTTGGGCAAAGTGAGAGAATACCACTGCCAGAACTAATAAGGCACAGTCAGTTAGCTGTCCATTTCAAACTGAGAAACTTTGAATGTTTACAGTAAAATGTTGATAACTTGCACTAAACAGCACAGTGTTAAGATGTTTTAGCTGCATGTATCCAAAATACAAATGAGTTAAATCAGAAATCTCGTTTGAGAGCAATAACATCTAGTCCTAGTTAAAACAAAAAACTTATGTATCACTAAATGAAACACTTGTCATTTTTGTAGATTTACATTTGGAAATGGACTATAAAATAAACGACTAAATATTTTTTTGGTAGGTTCATGGGTTTAAGTTTGATGACATCAATTGCGATCGTTTTTCATTAACATGTCACTATGTCAGTGTTCACTAAGATGGGATGTAGCTACAAAATTAATCCTAGGGGATAGAGATCGGTAATTCAAAATGGGACTCATTGATCGAATTGGCAGGAAGGTACTTGCATCTGTAATTTGAGTAGAACGCGTAGATGTCCACTGACACAACATGTTAGCATATCTGTATCGCCTTGAATTCTCTATGGGGATGGACGCTTGTGAGAATGAAAGGTGCAACAGGACATAAAATTTGTTTGATAAGTTAACAGAACTATTATTAACATCAAAATTCCAATAACTGCGATACATCTTCGTATTAAGTAATTAGTTATTGTATCGTTTGTGCCCTGAAAATAAAATTTAACGTATCACTATTTGAACGGTTTCAGCATTGCTAATGAGAGTGATAGAAACAACATAAACTACAAAAACAATTTATTAATAGCATACGAAATAAGTGGCAAGTACGACATTCTATTGGACAGTAGTACTCCATCGCTTACAATCCTCGTCACCGCTGATCGTGTACATTTATAATCATGTTTATTCATCAGATTTTTGCCTTTCGCTCTCCTGAAATATTTCTAGGATCATTGTTATCGGTCTTCTTTTTTGGGATTGCTTTTGTGATAACTGAGACTTCTTTAACGATGTTTAGCTGTTTCTTTCCACGGACTGGAATCCGGAAGCAAGATTCGTGCATCTGTGCCACATCGATGAGTCAACCAAACACATTACTTCTTTCTTAACTGTTTTCAAGCTGCAAGTACTAGGTCTGTGCAAACTTCATGGCACCATTTTTCGTACTCATATTCATTTGCGTTTGCACACGCTTGATTAGACTGTCCGGTCACCGATAACAGGTTTCCAAATGAAATAGGCACATGGAAACAAACGAAACAGCTCTCCATGAACTTTTAGTCTGAAAGTGCAAAAAACAAGAATAAAAGCTAATTGACGATTTAGAACAAAGACGAAAAATTACACTTGGGGAAAAAGCAATGCTCTCGGTGTAACTTCAACTGAAATTATTTCAATTAGAGTGAATGACTGTCGTTTTGGTGCCTAATAACAATCAAAGCTTTAATTTAAGTCAGTGAATAGAAAACCACGATCTATTATAAATAACGTCCTTGATTAACAATTCCATTAAGGTAAACTAATGAAGCTGTGTGCGTACATTCACTGGCGGTGGTTATGAGTATTCTAGCTATCGGGTTAGCGAACATTTGCCGTAATGTTTTGTCCCATAAACTTTTCGGAAGCAGAAAAATGTACAATATGTTTTGAGACATTAATAAACCGCCTAAGATCTTGTAAATACTTCAGTTTTTTGGACTTAAGGTTGAAAATTGATCACTTATGAATGATCATTAACGACGTCCTTCAATCACATTTTCCCCAGAGTTCCATTGGGGACTTACTTAAAGCGTGGGGACTCGGTTTATTTAAAACTCAATGTAAGCTCGTATCGAAGAGTAGGATCCCGTACTACATTTATATTATCATTTATATTATATAATTACTTCGTAATTTTAATTGTACTGTCTATGGTGTAACTGAAATATATAAATAATCTAGAGTACATAAGAATCATACTCACTCTTTGCTGCCTGAAAACGCTTTGCATAAAAGTTGTGCAACATGTTATGGAACTTTCATAGAATTTAAGAGGACCTTATGGACTATGGATGAACTCCTGTTATTACTTATTAGAAAGCCTATAAATGAAGTCTTGGTCACATATAATTAGAGCTGAGCTGACTGTTTAGATTGAAGTAATTTCTACGTCAACATCTATGAGCGTAGTTGTATTGGTTACTGAAAAACTACCGGTTCCTGTAAACGACCTTACTAGTCTTAGTTTTCATTACTTTTGCATTTCTTCATTGGTAAATAGCGTTCTATACGTTTAATAAAGCGATCCCAAAGTCTGTAACGCGGATCTCAGTTAATAATCAGTTTCCTCAGAAGTGGCGTCACTTGGTGTTGTACAGCATGAAGTTTTAAATTTTGACCATTTTCAATTGTTGTTTACACATTATTGCCGATGGCCTGGTGACTGATGAAATCTCAGCACGGATACACAAGGCTCGATCGGCTTTTGCCAACCTGCTTCACTTATGCCATCGGCAAGATATCCGTCTGCTAACCAAAGGAAGAGTCTACTGTGCAGCAGTTCGCTCCGTCTTACTTTATGACTGTGAAGCATGGCCAGTGAGAGTATAAGATATTTGTAGGCTATTAGTATTCGATTACAGATGTTTCCGAAGCATTGCTCGTGCATCGAATAGACAACGCTATTGTTAGGAAACGGGTACTAGTTAGGGATGGCAAACCAATAGGTGAAGTATTGAAACTTCATCAGTTGAGGTGGTTGGGACATGTGTTGTGTATGTATGCCTAACCACCGACTGACTCGACGAGCTATGTTTTGCGGTGTAGGAGTGTGTTGGGAAAAAGTTAGGGGTGGCCAAACCAAAACACGGAACAAATCCATGAAGTCACTGACAGCTGGGTTGAGTGATGTTGGTAGGTGTAGACTCCTGGTTGAGGTCAGCGAGACGGCAGTAACCTATGGTTAGAGACCTTGAATGACACGGCTCGAAATCGTTTGCAATAGCGCAAGTGCATCCATTCTTTGTGTTCTCTCAAATTCTAACCTTCTGAATTCTTCATCATCTCTTTCTAAATTTATCTCACTGAATTATATTTCTCGAATCATATCTTCGAACCGTAATCTTCTGCATTACTGCTAATTCTTCTACTATCGCTACCACTATGGGATTCGAATTGACAATTGCGTCTCTGTGCTGATGTGGTTTGGCAACCTGAACTTATGTACGTACGTACGAAGTTTTGCCTTGTATCTGTCTGTCTGACAACTGCATATTCGTTGAATAACATTACCATATTTTGACATTTTATTTCTACCTTTATGTAAAGTTTAAGGAATCAAAAGTTGAGATCTTTGAAACTTGAAACCGGCTCCTCACTTTTCACTGGACGTCTTGCATCGGCGAATAATGAGCGTAACACAACCTTTGAGTTCCACTCCTGAAAAGGATCCTAACGTTAAATCTCCCCATTTAAGCACAAGTTGTTCTCATTTGCCAGTCAAATTTACTTGTGAACCGGACCAAGGAGAGTCAGACGATTCTGGTTGCCAAGCCCAAATATCTATTCCGAACGATATGGTTTGTAATAATATGAAATTTATTGGTGATCAGTTTAACAACAGTAAAAGTAAGAGCCCGGTTATCTCAGACCGTCTTGGACATAGTGCTCTCAAAAGCACTCTAAGCAGTTCATTCGCATCTATACCAAACCACCTAAGATCTGCAGAATATAAAGTAAGCAAAATGATTATCACTAATATTTAAAACTGTGACTATTAGTTCCGTTCACTCACACACCAATAGTGTTTAAAGTGAAGTGTAGTTTTCTGGTGCTGTTGAATAACAAGTATTGTATATCCAAGTAGTTGATAATCACAATCGATGTTATGTACTCAGCACTCAGCAGAAGGAAATCTTTTCAACTTTGCGAGAACTTAAACTTCTTAGAAACCGTGTTACAGCCTGTTTTTATTAAGCTGAGTTTTGTCCGCAGTTTGATAATCTACGATACTTGACTAAAATAGGCTAACTAATATTACGTCACATGAGCCTTAATGGTGATCAGTGCTCAGTCAGTATAGTTTTAACTGGAATTTTCTAATGAGCGAATACTGAATAGAATGATACTACTTACCGCTTAATAATGATTGCAGGTTCAGATGTGCATACACTTTTTTTCCCGAGATCGTATACAGTGTACGTAAACCAGTTTATCGTGTATAAATTTATAAACCAAAAGGCATTACTTCTGTATGCTAAGTAATAATGAAAGTTGCTTAGTTTTTTGTCATAAGGTTTCAGTTTTGGATTCTATTTCACTTATTTTAAGTAGCCAGTGCCGTTGAATTATATAAAATCCCCTCGATTTCTAACACAATGCTTCCGCTGAGAGTGGTCAGTGAGTACGACGTCATTTACAGTGGCTGCATACGCATGGCCATATGAGAGCATTGCGAGAGAGGGGGTGGACTACCCGCTCTTGACCATATCAAGGCATTTGAGGGCAAGGCTATTATTTCATATATTACGAACCATATATGTTTGACAGTTTGTTTGTGCAATTTAGATTGCCATTTTTTGTTCAATTGTCTTATATATGCTATTACTAAATAATGTTTACTTCGTGGGAAAATGTTTACATCCAAGCTTTATGTACTGTTTTTTATTTTCTTTATTTTTGAGCTTCAATATACTCTTGTGAGTATGACTAAAACTGTTATTGGATTTAGTCAGTGTTTATAATTTACAATTCGATTATTCTTAACTGTGATATTTAAGTATACCGAAATAATACCTACCATTTTAGTACTATATAATATCAATTGCAAGCCAGTAATTAGAAAAGTTGGGTTTTTCATTTCATACAGCTCAGTGTAGTCCGATTGTTTGAGAGATATAAACTAAAACATCCCCTAGATACTTTTTGGTTGGGAGTACTCAAAATATCCCCTTTTTGCTTACACATTATCAGTAAAAAATACCCGGCATCCTTTGAAAATGCTCATCCGTATCTAAAACTACTAAGTTATCAACTAACTAAAAATGTGTCAATAATTATCTACCCTCTTATGTCATTGTCATAGGGTTTAGTAGCGTCATATGATCACGTCGTATTTATAATGAACAAGGTCTAGGTTGTTCGTTCAATTTATCACTATACATTGAATATTTCTGTACATTTTTGGATTTTATTAAACTAGTTTAGATGTGATTGCACTATCTAAAGACTGAATAATTAAAGCTAAAAATACCTTTTCTAACTATAAAGTTGTTAGTTTCACTTGAGCATACTGTTCCATTTAATTTAATTTAATTAATTTATTTAATTTACCACTAGTTGCACTATGATCACTACAGTCCCACACTAGTGTAGTTCATTTTAAGCCAACAGTTATGGGCTTTAGGGTGTGTTATCTTATCAGTCAGTCAGTCAGTTACAACGCAGAACTTTGTACGTACGTACATAAGTTCAGGTTGCCAAACCACATCAGCACAGAGACGCAATTGTCAATTCAAATCCCATAGTGGTAGCGATAGTAGAAGTATTAGCAGTAATGCAGAAGATCAGGGTTCGAAGATATAAATCGAGAAATATAATTCAGTGAGATAAATTTAGAAAGAGATGATGAAGAATTCAGAAGGTTAGAATTTGAGAGAACACAAAGAATGGATGCACTTGCGCTATTGCAAACGATTTCGAGCCGTGTCATTCAAGGTCTCTAACCATAGGTTACTGCCATCTCTCTGACCTCAACCAGGAGTCTGCACCTACCAACATGACTCAACCTAAAAATGTCACACCTCACCCTACCTCACGGATTTCCGTCTCCGTCGGTAAGGGTGCCCACCAAGGGCTTTCAAGAGCGGAGCTAACACTCAAAAAATTTCTCATAAAAAGGCCGTGCGTTACCGGCCTCAAGCAGTTGTCCCTTGGGCTCTGCGGTCACGCCCCCAGGTCTCCAAGACCAACACTAATCTACCTTCCTTTTCAGGTTCCTCAAGAAACAACCTTCCACGGTGTTGGCAGCCGGGAAGTGACAACCGGCCTCATACCCGTAACAGCACGAGAGACCAATTCGGTCGAAATCAAATCCTTCCTACACCCACACATACCTCTCTTCTCTCCACAACTAACTCTACTCACAGTCCCTTATCTGACTGCACAGCAAATGCAAATGATGCGAGTTCACGAAACGTCATTCCTGGTCTCTTGAAACCTCGTTCTAGTCTACATGTTGGAGCATTTAATGTACGGACATTGTGTCAAATAGGGCGACAAGCATCATTAACTAGGACTTTAGAATCTCGTGCCATCGATGTGTGCTGCGTCTCGGAAACGCGCATACAGGATCCGAGTAGCATCATTCACTTGACCTCACCATGTCAAGATAAAGAAGCAGCTCGATTTACTCTTCGTGTAACCGGTAGCCCTGATGCTGATTCCAGGGGTCTCGCTGGTGTAGGTATAGCATTGAGTCGTAGGGCAGAACAATCCCTCCTTGACTGGATCCCTGTAGATAGTCGTTTGTGCGCCGTCTGACTAAACGTGACAGTAAGGATTCGAAACGATAGGGACACTCGTCGTTGCCTCTTCGTCATATCAGCCTACGCCCCCACTGACTGCAGTCCAGACGATGTAAAAGATGAGTTTTACAGAAAGCTTTCGGACCTCCTTCGAAAAGCTAGGGGCTCTGATGTAGTAATAGTGTCTGGTGACTTTAATGCTCAAGTCGGTAGACTGAGTGAAAATGAAAGACACCTAGGTGGATGTTACGGTCTCGCGGCTCAAAGAACAGACAATGGCGACCGTCTGTTGCAACTGTGCTCAGATAACCAACTATTTCTAGCAAACACTAATTTGAAGCATAAGGAAAAACATCTTTTGACCTGGCGACCCCCGAAGTCGTCTCAACGTTGGACACAACTAGATCATATCGCCATCAGCCACCGATGGAGGGGTTCGATAGAGGACTGTCGCTCGTTCTGGGGCACATGTTTAGATTCAGATCATGCCCTAGTGCGAGCACGTATTTGTTTGAGCCTGCTTGCTGGACGTAGGAAAGACACCGTAAGGAAGCCTCTTAGGGCTTTACTTGATGATAATCAAGCTAAGAAAATATTTCAGGAGGAACTAGAAAAACAGTTAGGCGACCATGCAAGTGATTCCCATCCTGAAGCAGGTTGGAGTCATATCAAGAAGGCTGTGGAAACAGCAGTGATATCTGCTAGCAAGGTAAACCATAAGGCTAGGATGAAGCAGTGGATTTCAGTCGCATCCACCGAACTGATGGATGCTCGAAAACGTATCCCATCTGACTATGGACATGATGTGGTGTAGGAGTGTGTTGGGAAAAAGTTAGGGGTGGCCAAACCAAAACACGGAACAAATCCATGAAGTCACTGACAACTGGGTTGAGTCATGTCGGTAGGTGTAGACTACCTGGTTGGGGTCCGCGAGACGAAAGTCACCAATAGTTAGAGACCTTGAATGACACGGCTCGGAATCGTTTGCAATAGCGCAAGTGCATCCATTCTTTGTGTTCTCTCAAATCCTAATCTTCTGGATTCGTCAGCACCTCTACCTTTGTCTTTCTAACCTTATTTCACCTAATTATGCTTCTTGAATAATATCTTCAAACCCTAGTCTTCTTCATTACCATTATTACCTCTACTATCTTTATCACTATGTGATTTGATTTGACATCTGCGTCTTTGTGCTTATGTGGTATGGCAACCTGAACTTATGTACATACGTACGTAGTTCTACGTTGCAAGTGACTGACTGAATGCAGAAGATTACGGTTCGAAGATATAAATCGAGAAATATAATTCAGTGAGATAAATTTACAAAGAGATGATGAAGAATTCAGAAGGTTAGAATTTGAGAGAACACAAAGAATGGATGCACTTGCGCTATTGCAAACGATTTCGAGCCGTGTCATTCAAGGTCTCTAACCATAGGTTACTGCCATCTCTCTGACCTCAACCAGGAGTCTACACCTACCAACATGACTTAACCCAGTTGTTAGTGACTTCATGGATTTGTTCCGTGTTTTGGTTTGGCCACCCCTAACTTTTTCCCAACACACTCCTACACCGCAAAACATAGCTCGTCGAGTCAGTCGGTGGTTAGGCATACATACACAACACATGTCCCAACCACCTCAACTGATGAAGTTTCAATACTTCACCTATTGGTTTGCCATCTCTACCTGGTACTCGTTTCCTTGTTTGCACTTCCTGGTCTGAAACCATCCTGGTTTTATCTAGTCTTCTCTTCATAAGCTCTAGTTAGGCGTCGGAGTATTATTAAGGCCAGTATTTTAGATTCCATATTAGTTAAACTTATTCTTTTGTGATTGTAACGAGACTAGGAAAATTAGTGATTGAGACCAATCAGATGGGATTATGCCCACTTCCCAAATTCTACCTAAGATTTCAGTCACTCTCAGAGCTAAAACTGGATTACAATCCTTAGAAATCTCAGTTAAGCCCATAAAAGCACACGAGATCATATTGGTTCTAATCAAACCCTTCCTTCACCCTACTGCATCTCTCTTATCTTCACGACAAACCCTTCTCACACTCCTTTAGTATCCCGCGCCGCTATTCCTAATGATTTAAGTGTGACTCTATAGCCGTACTAGTGTACAAACATTTAGTTTATCAAATGGTATACTGTACCATATGTTCAACCTCAAAATGTAACATTTTTCTTTCATAACCGGTAACTTTAACATCCATTTAATTCCGAGCTAAAGTGCTACAGATAAGAATAGGTCATAAATCAGCTAGCGGGGCTGTGTCGTGGTTGTCGTTATTCGTTTACTGAATTGAATAGAATAGCTTTTGCTATGTAAGTTATGGTTCATTTCTGTTGCTGTCATGCATTAGCAAGTTGACTGTACGGCTCATCAAAGTTAATATGTCACAAATGTCATTTCATCACACGAGTTTTTGTCAAAATAAAATAGTAGAGATTAGTAGAAAAGTTTTCCGATATATATATATATATATATATATATATATATATGCTGATTACCTTCTACGGAATTAATTTCCGTGATACGTCCCTGAAAATTTTTTTACGGAACCGTAATTCATGTTTTTTCATCTTCTGTTCAAAATAACATATGTAAATATATTTTTTTCCGTGATGGTTAAGAAATTAAGAACAAATTAAGGGCATGTCCTAAACACTTAATTTCAGGTCAACACTAATAATAAAATGCTTACAAAACTATTTGAATTTCTTTCTTCGTATAAAACCTACAGTTCCGGTATGTGTTTACACCACTTGCTCTAAATGCTAGCTGCAATGTGCATTTCATACTGGGTGATTATCGTTCCACTTCATCGATTGTATCCGAGTGGATTTACCCAAGTAAAATGCTTTGCTCTCATTAGCATCGTTATCTTTTGTTATCTTACTACTCTGTTGATTTGTGTAAAAGCATAGTGGCTGAAGTCAATTGATCAGCGTCCATGGTTGCATATCAGATAGACTTATAAAACAATTAGTCCTTTTCGTAAATTTTTATAGAACAGTGAGAAAACGTAAGTAACCTGTGGACACACATACATAGGGAGGTGTAATCGAACTTTGCAATCAAGGGTTATGGAACATGTTCCTAAGTGGCTTCAAAACCAGTTAACTTCAGATGAGCCGAGAAACGTTTGAAACAAAAAACCATGTTCATCGATAGCAAAACACAATTGAGACAGGGAATAAGATTGACATCAAGACAGCCTTCAGAACATTGTATAGAAATGTTGAAGGACGAATTTTGGAGTTTATGGAATCTTTGGCTATTCATAAAGTAAAGCCCCCCTATGTGTACAGAAACAATTTACTATAACCTTGGATTTACCCTGGTAATCTTCAAGCCATTGAGTCGCCTAGGGTAATGTGGGAATTTTCTATCCTTTCTTATTCTTTCTATATTACGTCAATTTTCTCTCACCTTCATTTACAATTGTCACCTTACGCTTATTTGAACTTTTATTTAATTGTCCTTTTATTAATCTTCATCTAAAATGCATTGACAAGTATTTGCGTGACCAGATGGATTTGTAATTGAACACAGTTAATACACAGATTTACAACTTAATTGTCAGTATTAACCAGGCTTTCTGTGTTATTTGTAAAGATAACTTTTATCTTAAATCAATATCAGCTGTATAGCTGTCAAAACTATGAAGGTACTGAATAGTTACTTTGTTCCTTTTAATTGGCATGCGTTCATTGCTTCTCCTGGCTTATTTAATTATAATTGTTAGTGAACACATCGTAAACTAATGGAACTTATTTCTATCGTACACAGCACGATAAATAATTATGTATCATGAGATAATCGAAATTCAAAATCTCATATGATGATGATTACGATGAAATCAGTACAAATTTAATCTAGGATTATAATTCGTCTGAATTAATCAGAACATGAGTAAACGTCATCTTTCATTACTATATTAATCATAGTACAATATATAAACTTTTGTAATGCGTAAAGATAAAATATTCTTAAAACTGCTATTGCAACCGAATAGTTAATTAGCTACAACTAATACTTACGATAATCTTTGTGATTAACTTTCAAGATGTAAGTTGGTGACTGTTACTGGAAATGCTTATTAATAACATTCTCACCGCTTCGTATAACCCCAGACTGTTTCTGTACGTCAACTCGAACAATGCAGAAAGTACGCAAAATGCAGAGAGCTTTACTTTAGTTTCTATACAGAAAATCGAGAGTATTGGGAGTTGCATATGACTTCGGTCATCTAGAACTTTTTGGAAACATACTATATGTGGTACTGGATCTCCTTAATGGTGACCTCACTACAGGTTTCATTTTCCAATTGCTAGCTTTTAATGAGTATCTTTTCACGGCTTTTTTATTTTAATTCAGTGTAACTTTTTTAAAAGTATTGTCACCTCAAGAAGTTATCTATCGTCATTTTCTTACTGTTAAGAATAACCAACAGAATAATAGCAAATTATCTTGTCAAAACGATACAGTGAATTCTCTGCTAACATCTAAAACAAATTTATCATCTTCATCGTCGATAATTGGCTCGCATAAATTGCATCAAAGTAGTCAAAATATTCCATCGATTGGTTTGCGCTCCAATTCCAACTTGACCATATCATCATTGTCAACAGTTCAAAGCCGCCATGTTGCAGATTCTAGTTCTACAAGTTTATGTGCCTTATCCAGCCAAAATGTTTCAAAGTCAAGTCGATCTCGACCTAGACGTTTCGCAAATCTTTACAATGTAAGTGATAAACAGTGAGTTGTTGTGTTTAATTATGAATTTTGACTTGTTATTATCGTTATGGTAATATAAAAGTAATGTTAGTGTGATTATATGTGAGCTTTTCTATTTTACATTTTCAAGTGAAATTTAATGTGATTATTTATTTATTTAAACATAATTATTGGTAGAAAGGGACATCTAAATATTTGTGCGCCATACAAATTATTCTAATTTGTAATTGGGCTGAGAAACTGCCCGGGTGCCCAAACATGAACAGGCTCTTAAAATGTGCTTAAAATGGTAATTGATTCTTTTTTATATGAAGATAAGTTTGTTTTATTTTAAACAGTATATTACTCTCACAGTTATTGTATTGAACTGATAGACAAATGTTTCATGTTTGTAGTTGTATAACTATTTGACTGTAAGTTTATGTTTTATAGGGTAGCACTGTGATGTTTGTCTTTCCCACCCGTGTGTCAGTTTAATTTGAAAATAAATTTAAGTTTCAGCCATGGTGTTTATTTATTCATGTTTGATAGACTAATAAGATGCTAGTAAACTTGATGTATCATGAACAGCTTATAAATGAGGTGTAATCAGTTTTCTATATGATGCGATTACTTATATTTCAAAATGAATAAATTCAATATTGAATTATTTTCAGCTGAAGAGAGGTCAGTAACCAACAGATCAATGTCAGGTTTTTAATTAGGGCATTTGCCAAGATTACACTTTGAAAATTTCAATAGATACCGCTTTCATGTTACGAAACACTGTTAAGCTGAAATTGTATGTTCCATTCATAAATTTAATGCTGATTTTAATCGGAAGGCTAATTTTTGTTTTTAAATTTTCTGTAAATATTTAAATGGCTTTGTTTTAGTGTTGCACAGACATTTAACCTTATGAAATTTAACTGTACACTAACTTTTTTTTATTTTGTTCAAAAAGCCGTTAAATGCAAATTTTGTTTAGGTCTGTTCAAAACAATGTGTTGATATACCAGAACATCTTGGTAAATATCTATTTCAGATTGATGAATTTAGAGGTCATTTTAGATGTTTTCGCTAATGGTAGTTTCCAAAGCATGTTGGTATCACTCATTTTATTGTTAAATCCCTCTCTCATTTTGTTTTGATTAAACCTTACGATCTTATATTCTTGAACAGACATTTTACAATTTACGGTGTATATTATGAATTAAATATCTATCCGCAAAATCTGCTTAGATTATGACATTCTGAATGAGCTACAGAAGAAAGAAATCAAGCCTAAACTATGTATATACTCTGAACCGATAGCTATAACTACTGTGTATAAAAACAGAACTACAAGCGTTATTTGAAGCCTATGTAAATGGTTGGGATATGTGTTACGAATACCCAAGCACCGACTGCCTCGATGAGCTATGTTTTGCGGTGTAGGAGTGTGTTGGGAAAAAGTTAGGGGTGGCCAAACCAAAACACGGAACAAATCCATGAAGTCACTGACAACTGGGTTGAGTGATGTTGGTAGGTGTAGACTCCTGGTTGAGGTCAGCGAGACGGCAGTAACCTATGGTTAGAGACCTTGAATGACACGGCTCGAAATCGTTTGCAATAGCGCAAGTGCATCCATTCTTTGTGTTCTCTCAAATTCTAACCTTCTGAATTCTTCATCATCTCTTTGTAAATTTATCTCACTGAATTATATTTCTCGAATCATATCTTCGAACCCTGATCTTCTGCATTACTGCTAATACTTCTACTATCGCTACCACTATGGGATTTGAATTGACAATTGCGTCTCTGTGCTGATGTGGTATGGCAACCTGAACTTATGTACGTACGTACAAAGTTCTGCGTTGTAACTGACTGACTGACTGAAGCCTATGTAGGTAACTTCTCAACATGTTATCATCAACACGAGATTTGTTACAAATATTTGGTGATAAAAATAGTATTCTTATTATATTTTGCAAATATTTATAATTGGAAAAGCGGTTCATGAATTTCACTTGCTAATTACCTCCACTATCTCATATCAAATAAAATGAAACGAATACTCTTTTAAAAAGTATCGATCCTTCTACAATTTAGCTTTCTGTTAATGTCTGTATTTAATGTAACCCCTCCCTGCAAATATGAAGCAGATATCTAAAATACAAAGAAAAAGTAGGTTGTCAATTATGTTAAATTGAATTGTTTTTTTTCTTTTTTAAGGCAATGTATCATGTGGAGGAGAATAACTTGATGGATATTGCATTTTATTAATGACGTATTTTTTGAAATTGAATTCTTTTGTAAATACACTGGTTTTTTTTTATTATGTGAAATTTTTGTAGGCGCATATATTTAAAAAATCATTGTGATTATGTTTACTGTTAAAATGGAGTGATAATAATTGGAATACCACGAAAATAGTTTCTGTGAGTATTCATAAGGTATATATATATATATATATATATATATATATATATATATATATATATAGAGTTTAATCCACCATAAAATCGAATTCAACTCAGTGATCTGCCAATGTCACTTGAAGTAGATTATCTTTCAACCAACCATAATTAATTGACCAGTCTTCTCATTTAACTAAAAACTAGTTACTTCTGTCTGTCAGAAGTATATCCTGTGTATTATAATTTACTTTTGATCCACTGATCTGTTATTGACGCTTAATTTTGTTTTCATCGATTATGTATTCATTATGTTTGCGTTATTAACAATCAATTTTTAACTGGTCAAATATTTGCCTAATCTAATTTCAAACCGTAATTATCTTATGATTACTCTACTATGGATATTTTACACACAAATCTCATAAGTGTTCACATAGAATTCTACTAATACATCATAAAACATTTTGGGCAATTGAATATATTATAATTTCTGTAGGATTTTTTAATTATAGTTTTTACATTCAATAAACAGTTCAATGTTTAATATTGTGGAAATGTGTTCAGAAGGTTTGTTAGCCTTTTTATAAACAATGCATATATCTATTAATTTTGTATAATATAGGTCATTTATTCTTAATAGTGTCATGTGTTCATACAGCATTTCCTTTTTGTTCTTCGTCTTTACACAAATATCTGTCTAATAATATATATAGATTAAATTAAATAATATTGCACTTTTTAATAGATAAAACAAGCGTTTCTTCTTATTTTGGTAGTTTCTAACTTGTAAGTATAAAGTTTTCTTTCGCTCTGCTTTATCTACATATTATTGCTCATTTTTCGTAAGATGGTTCTGTTTTGATTTTTATACATCCTTCTATCAAGATGATTACGTCTAAATCAAAAGTGAATTCGTTAATTTCATTATTATTTATCAGATATTGTTTTAAAAAACAACAGCTCAATTACCAATACCGATTTATGTACTCATTACTGGTAATAAGAGCTGATGATTACTTTCAGACCATCTGAAATCAAGGTTCTGGAGCAGTAACAGAGTTTTAAATCTATAATTTAATTTTTCAGCTAGTCAGTGACAAGAAACTGGTTGATATTGACATCTGAATCGTTTACAACTAGAATTAATTCTATTCTCTAAATTTTATCATCTTCTCTAGTGAAAGCATGACATTACACACCATTATTATGTCTAATTTACATACTCTTGTGATAACTGACCACTGCTCACCTTTTTAATCTTTGAGTGATAATTAACTACTTTACCTACTTGTCAGTAGTATATTTATTTCATCAAAAAGTGAACTCTTAATCAGCATTACATTCACTACCTCATACCTACGGTTACTATTCTCATTTTATATCTAGTTAACCAGGACGAATTCATATGTTTACAGGTGCATTACTAAAATTTATTTGTTCTTTGTTGATAGTTGAACATAAATAACTAATTTATTCATGTTCGTGCAACGAGATATTTTTTTATTTTGTTTTCTTTGAAAAGTCTGTTGGAAAACATCAAGCTAAATTTGTTCTAGTAATTCTATTATCACTGAAAATAAGTTGTTTACTTTCAAAACCACAAAAGTTGCACTTGTAATTTGCTTGCACTGGTTCCGGTTTCAATAAGTTTTGTGTTAAAATTATGATAATAGTTCTTGTCATCCTTTTGTTCTGCACTTCGCTAATGCAATGCATATGAGTTGCTGTGAACTCCGTAGGAAGTGGGTAGTTTAGTAGATAAAACACTGTCTCTGGCTGACAAGTCGCATATGGTAATCCCTCTATACCTACTTCATTTCGGGTGGAAAAACAGTATCATTAGCCCTCAATCAAAAATAGACTTCTTGGAACCTCAGTTACATGCTCATCAGCTGAAGTTCGAATACTGTCTCAGAATGGCTAGATAAAATCACTAAGACAATGTTAGAGTAGTCAGGTAGTAACAATATCAGTGACAATATAATGTGATTTCAGAAAAAAGATTTGTGGAACAAAACGTTTACAATAGTTTTAAACCTCAACGTTTAAAGGGAGACCGAGTGAATGCATGAATCATATTGCTCAATGTTGCTAACTGTTGGTTACTACAGTTGCACGGACTCCAACGAAATTATCTTTACTTACAAACATGGTTTAACCAAACGTTCAATGAACTGATAAAATAGTTTTACGTCTTGGTTTAGATTCGCATAAACGTGACTCCGACTCAAAACGTATATCAAACCTGACTACATAAACCTGTACTTGATGAATGATTTACACGGAAAATTTCAATTCATCTTTACCTAATCGTGTTTAATTAATTACAGTCTGTACTAGGTATTTCCAAATAATAGCAAATATAATCCTCTATCATATTTTTTGAAAAAATCATGCAAATTCTCTGGTCAGAAAGCTACGTCATACTTGTTTACAAAAATTCAAGCGAAGCTAAACAGTGTAGATTAAAATAAATGATTTTACACTGAAACTCTTATAATTTAATGGCTAGATGCTGCATCACAATACATGCAACTATGTAAAACTTCAAATTGTATTTTGTTTGGAAATTATAAGTGTTAATTTACGTACTTATTCATCGATACATTTGGTCGTATAGTTTGTCTAC